TAATGTCGCCTTTAAACTTTGGTAGAACAAGTTTTGGCAATTTTGATTGATATTGACGCAATGGCGTGACGGGATGATCAATGCTAACATTATTAATCGGGTTTGGATTTATTGCACCTACCTCTGTGGGCGCTGGCTGAGGTGCATCATTGGTTGGGCTTAAACTGGTACTTCCACTTGCTTCTATCTGTACTTCCTGAATCGTAGATTGTTCTGAACTCTGTTCTGGTACTGATAATACTTCGTTTCCACTATCGCTTGAATCTTCGATTGTATTTTTCTGCGGTGACTTCGTAGCCACATCGTTGAGTAATTCCTTTATTTCTCGTTGTACGTCTAAAATTCGCGAATTCAGTTCGTCTGCTTCTTCGATCTCGTTTGCAATATCACTAACCTCGCAACTATTTATAATTTTTTCGTCCAAATCTTTAACCAGTCTCGTTTTTTCGTTTAGCAAATCCGTTATAGTTGTTAATCTCCCTCGATTTGGTTGTTCGTCCTCGAAAATCGTTCGTGTTTCGTTGATAAGCTTCGTTATAACTGCTCGATTGCCTCCTCTAACGGCTCGAAATCTCGCTAAAATCGCCTTTTCTTCGCTCATTTTTGATTAAATTTCCTTGACAATATGCCCCACGTTGGGCGCCATGTGATAAATATCGAACTCTACGCAAAAACAAACTAAAATATCGTCGAAAATCTCAGGGTTTACTCGTATATAAAACTCGTATAAAAAAAATATAAAACTACATCACAAAAAAAACATGTGTTCGCGCAACTTGTTCTCAGGGAAGCCTGAGTTCTACCTTTAACTTAAGGTGTCTCTCGCACGTTTTTAACAGTCTTCATAACAATAAGTGGAGTTATCGCATAAATGGTTCTCTACGGCTTTGGTCTTATTTATTTGCTATAGCTATAATGTTGTTTTGGTTGTTTTTGTTTTAATATGCAAGGCATTAAATTTTACGTTGTTTCAAGTTTCTGGCATGTGTAGTTAGACTTTTTGTTCAAAATTTCTTATTTAAGACGCGACTTAAATAAGAACAGCTAAAAGACCTGTTCTTATGTAAGACGCGTCTTATCCAAGACGCGTCTTACATAAGAATTTTGTACCTTTTATACGACAAACTCGCGTCTTACTTAAGTCGCGTCTTATGTAAGTCGCGTCTTATTTTGTTCCGTATAAATGGCCCTAATGTACGTTTTTATATACAGTACTGTACGGGCTAATAATATATGTATCCGTTTTATTTAATAAATTATAATTGTATATGTGTTTGTATATTTTACAAACACAAGACTGCTTCTTGCCAAAATTGAGAAAATATATATTAATGTAGTTGTGTATAAGACAAAATTTCATGAAAGATTCTACTTTTGGTATATATTTTGACTCATTTTGTGCTTTCGCTACACCTTGTCAAGTAAATGTCAACATATTAAATAATAGTGTTGCTTCGAACTTTATGATAAAAATCCCGATCTTCTAGACGTGTATACAAATAAAAATAGTAAGTTTATACTATAAATGAGTTTATTTTACCTGTATCGGTTTAAATTCGCCGTTAAGTTGCAAGTAATTCTGTTTGAGAACGCAATAATTGGGCATTTCGCAACCAGGGCAGTTTCAGGGCAGTTTTGGCCATGTTGTTGGGAAATCAACTAGGCCTTCTAGGCTTGGTTCCTCCGCCCCGCCCCCAAATCACCTAGTCCCAGTCTTTTCATGTGAAAAAGCGCTGAATATGAAAAAATATGGGACTAGCTAACAGTCGTGGGTCGTGGGTAGAATGTCGTGGGTCGTGGGTAGAATGTCGTGGGTCGTGAGTAAAAAGTCGTGGGTCGTGGGTAAAAAGTCGTAAGTCGTGGGTAAAAAGGCGTGGGTCGTGGGTAAAAAGGCGTGGGTCGTGGGTAAAAAGGCGTGGGTCGTGGGTAAAAAGGCGTGGGTCGTGGGTAAAAAGGCGTGGGTCGTGGGTAAAAAGGCGTGGGTCGTGGGTAAAAAGGCGTGGGTCGTGGGTAAAAAGGCGTGGGTCGTGGGTAAAAAGGCGTGGGTCGTGGGTAAAAAGGCGTGGGTCGTGGGTAAAAAATCGTGGGTCCCGAATAAAAAGTCGTGTTCCAAGCAAAATATTTCCATATATTTACCTTTCTCCCTTTGGAATGCGTGTTTTTTTTTTCTTCTGAGGCTTTCCCAAACTATGCCCAAATATGCATAGCTTAGAGCGCGTTAAGGCCGGGTTTTTGATATCGGCAGATCGATTTATAAATATTATAACCAAGTGTGGATGAAACAGTTCAACTTCAAGCCCCATATAGCTCAAATATTTGGACGTTGTAATCTTATAGACAGATAAATATTGTAATTCTTCAATAGGAAATAGTGCTGTCAAGCCTGTCATAAATAGCTAAATTCTGACATTCAGGGCTTCACTTAATTTGTTGATCCATGTTCTTACAGTAACAAGACGCTCTATAGAGCGTTAACTCGCTGGGGCTATACAAACACGCACATTACCGTATATGATACATACATGCATGCAGTATACAGTTGTTATATTTTAAGGTTGTCCCGAGCTAAGCGGAAAAGTCGAATACGAGCGCGAAAGGCTAGGGTTGAAGATTAAACTTTTCAGTTACAGTTTTGTTCACTCTGTTTTGAACTATATCAACATATAACACTGCTCTGTCTATTTAGGTGAATACCATGTTATAATATTGTTATTTATATCCCACTGACTTGCATTGTGCCCCAATGCAATCCAATGCAATCATGCACCCTACTTTATTAGTTTAATGTCTCATACCAGTCGATTTTGCTTGTCAAAGGGAGAGTGCTGCCGCTCTCAAATTGACTAGGTTTGTATTGCAGGTAGGAGGCTCAGTTTTGAAGTTTCTGTTAATTTAATGACCCAGTTCAGGATTTTATACAATCAGACACGCAAATAAAACTTCCGGCGTTTCCACCGGCTAGGATTAAACTGCGCGTTCAAAATAAAATTACGTTCAAAATAAAATATTTGGGGGCTTTTGGGCTCAAAATACTATCAAAATGAAGAGAGAAGTGAGACAAATCCACTGGTATACGGCCGAAAAAGAGAAAACCAACGATACCAAAGTTATCAAGGATCAAACGTACTGCATTTTTATAATTAGTTGAATAGTTTTGAGCGATTCGTTCGCAATACAATTTCGCTTGGATTTTAAAGATAAAGGCCATAAATCGCTAGAATACTGTTGTTTAGTGATACATTTGACACCCGTAAGTACAATTTCTGACGCTGAATCGAACGGTGGTATTTTTTATCTTTATTGCGCCATTAGGCATTAATACAACTTAGTACAAGGTCAAGGACAAACCACAGGCGGCCCAATCTCGCAAGGGTCAGTATAGACTTTATACAGTATAAATTTATATTATATTAATGTATATTATAGTAAAAATATGTCATAAAATATAAATTTTAAAATGAAATTGACTTGCCTATTTGATAGTGTGTGTTCTCCTTGTATTCCTCCTTTGTTGGACTAATATTTTCCGACACCTTGTACTCGATGTTACTAGTATACATGAAACATGATAAAGGCTAACCATTCCCGATCGTCGATACGACGGCACGGCACTTCGAATCGAAAATTTCCACACTCAAATCACTTTATTATCCAAACAAATTCGCCAGCATGTACAACAAATGCCGTTCTTCGAAAATACGGAGGTACTTCGGCGAGATGTACAAGTTTTGGACCATATTTTAACAATGGAAATCAAAACCCATTTTATATTGAACTTGCCCAGGCCGAAAATTACTACGGCGAACGTCTGCGCAACCAGGCCTTCTTTACCGTTAGATTTACAGGGGGGGAAGCAGATATTTCCGGTAACAGCCAGCCAATCGCGGCCGCGATACAGACTATTTACATTATTTGAAATTTGATATTCAAAATAAAAACTCCTTCGATCGAATACTGTATAAAACTCGAGATGTTGTCGAAGAAAAGAAAACTAAACGACGGAGATTGAAGAAATTTAAGGAAGAAGTAATATACAGCGGTTCTTTGTTGGAAAGCATGGTAGAATATGATACTTTAATTCGAAATATTATCGTGAATATATTAGTGGCATCCTCCCCCCTGTAAATCTAACGGTAAAGAAGGCCTGGTTGCGCAGACGTTCGCCGTAGTAATTTTCGGCCTGGGCAAGTTCAATATAAAATGGGTTTTGATTTCCATTGTTAAAATATGGTCCAAAACTTGTACATCTCGCCGAAGTACCTCCGTATTTTCGAAGAACGGCATTTGTTGTACATGCTGGCGAATTTTTTTGGAGAATAAAGCGATTTGAGTGTGAAAATTTTCGATTCGAAGTGCCGTGCCGTCGTATCGACGATCGGGAATGGTTAGCCTTTATCATGTTTCATGTATACTAGTAACATCGAGTACAAAGTCTCGGAAAATATTAGTCCAACAAAGGAGGAATAAAAGGAGAACACACACTATCAAATAGGCAAGTAAATTTCATTTTAAAATTTATATTTTACGACATATTTTTACTATAATATACAATTAATATAATATAAATTTATACTGTATAAAGTCTATACTGACCCTTGCGAGATTGGGCCGCTTGTGGACAAACGTACTGCGAGTGAGTGTCAACATGAAACTGAACGTACTGCGAGCGATTTGTAAACAATACAATTTCGCTTGATTTTGAATGGCCATAAATCGCTAGAATACTGTTGTTTAGTAATACATTTGACATCCGTAAGTACAATTTCTTACGCTGAATCGAACGTTGGTATTTTTATCCTTATTGCGCCTTTAGGCATTACGAATACATTATATTTCACACTACAGTTTTCACGTTTCTAATAACTATTTAATAGAGACTGTTGTTGGATAAATTTTATATTGATATGACACTAATATGCTTCTCATAAAGTAGTTATCTATTAAAACTACGTTGTGTATGTAATATAGCTAATTAATATGCTAATAACTAATCCAAATAGGAATAACTAATCAGTATTCAATATATAGTTCACAAACACTATAACACGCGTTTATCTCGTTTTATTGAGTCTTAAACACTACATTCTGGCGACGAGGATACACAATTGGAGTTAGTAAACACGTTTAGTCAATCTACAACGTCAAAACATCGAATTTCAAAGCGCAAATTCGTATAAAAACAAGATTTTCGTGTGACCACGAGGAAGCCATTTCGCGCCATTTTCACAACAACAATATATTTCGATATATTTTTCGTATAAAGTCGTTCGCCGTTTTCTACATCTATCCATGGCAGCTACTAGTTTCTCCTTGCCGACATTCCCGCCATTCGATGTCCATGCCGATGGAAATACCGGTCATCGCTGGAAAAAATGGCTAGGCCGCTTTGAACGGTTGCTTGTGGCGATGAATATTACCGACAAAAAACAACAACGTGCGATGCTATTACATTTCGCAGGACCGGCTGTTGACGAAATTTTTGACACCCTTTCAGACACTGGCGAAGCAAAAGACTACGACAAAGCGATAGAAGCACTCAATGCCTATTTTATTCCGCACGTAAACACGGCGTTTGAAGAATATAATTTCCGCCAAGCGAAGCAAAACCAAAGCGAAACCCTAGATGCCTTTCATACACGTTTACGTCAGCTATCGCAAAATTGCTCGTTTACAGATGTCGATAAAGAGATAAAGAACCAAATAATCGTTGGTTGCTCATCACAGAAACTTCGAAGAAAGGCTCTACGTGAAGACCCGACCTTAAAGAACCTTTTAGACGCGGGGAGAGCCGAAGAAACGAGTCAAATACAAGCGCAATTCGTGGAGAAACAAGAGTCAAGTCAAAATATCAACGCCATTAAGACGGGCGCTCTCGAGAAACATAACCCCTCGCCTCGCGACATGAGAAAACCACAAAATCAACGTCACGGCTCAAATTATCAAAGAAATTTCAACAAACCCCACACATCAACTTGCCGCAACTGTGGTGGTATCTACCCCCATGCCCGAGATTGTCCAGCCAAAGGAAAAGAATGCCATTCCTGTAAAAAAACTGGCCATTTTGCAAAGGTATGCCGATCGACCCCTAAACACAAACCTCACGAACACCGGAACAGAGTCAACAACCTTTCTGAACAACCGAGCACTAGCCCTCATGATGTCGACCCTGATTACATTTTCACTTTGAAAAACAATTCGAACAGCAAAACCCAACCCCCCAAATGCCAAGTGTTGGTTAAAGAGCACCTTATTGATGTCATTATTGATTCTGGAGCTTCGGTAAACATCATCGACGAGTCCACATACAAGCAGCTCAACCAAAGTAACACCCTACCTCTCAAGCAGCCTGAGTCCAACATCTTCCCCTACGGTACAAGTGTCCAGATACCCATTCTTGGAATGGTCATGGCTACAATTCAGTTCCAGTCCACAACTTTGGATGCCAATTTCTATGTTGCCAAGGGAACCGGTGGAAATCTCTTAGGTTGCCAAACAGCCGAACAGTTAGGAATTTTAAAGATAACCATTAACACAGCAGTTAGCTCTTACAACGCTCGCATTGAAGATGAGTTCCCGAATTTGTTCGGTGGTATTGGGAAGATAAAGAACACCCAAGTCCAGTTACATATCGACACCGACGTTACACCCAAACAGCAAAAACATCGTCGCATTCCATTCCACATCCGAAAGGACGTTGAAAAGGAACTCCAGCGTTTAGAAGACCTTGATATCATTGAGCAAGTTGATGGTCCGACACCATGGGTCAGCCCAATCGTTGTGGTACCCAAGAAAACTGGAGAGATCCGATTATGTGTGGACATGCGTGAAGCGAATAAAGCAGTGCAAAGAGAAAAACACCCCATGCCAACTGTCGACGAGTTAATCACAGACCTCAATGGTGCCACAGTGTTTAGCACCCTAGATCTTGCCTCAGGTTACCACCAACTGGAGTTACACCCTGAATCCCGCCATATCACAACCTTTACCACTCACGTTGGACTTCGACGTTACAAGCGACTAATGTTCGGCATTAACGCAGCCTCGGAGATATTTCAGAATGCAATTGCAAACCTACTGGTTGGATTACCTGGTTGTAAGAATATTTCGGACGACATCATCGTCTATGGTCGAGATGACAAAGAACATGATGAGAACTTACGAGGCGTGTTAAACCGCTTACAAGACAACAACGCCAAATTAAACGGTGAGAAATGTTCCTTCCGTCAGCACCAAGTAGTATTCTTTGGGCACACATTCAGCGCAAGTGGAGTTCAGGCAGACCCAAAGAAGATCGACATCATCCGGAATATGCAACCTCCAAGAAATGTCAGCGAAGTCAAGTCCCTTCTCGGAATGACCCAGTACGTATCTCGGTTTATTCCCAACTATGCCTCCATCACAACACCCTTGCGTACCCTGACCCACCAGAACGCCAAATGGCAATGGCAAGCGGAACAAGAGAATGCTCTGAAAAAACTTCAACACGAGCTTACGAATGATCCTGTTATGGCTTACTTCGACCCTTCGAAACCAACCACCGTCATTGTGGATGCCAGCCCCTCGGGTTTAGGAGCACTGCTTACTCAAGAAGGCAGAGTTATCAGTTATGCAAGTCGTGCACTTTCCAGTGTAGAATCCCGCTATTCACAAACTGAACGCGAGATGTTAGCCGTTATATGGGCTATCGAACACTATCATCTTTACCTGTATGGCGCTAAGTTTATTGTCATCACCGACCACAAGCCGCTACTCGGAATCTTCAAAAGTCAGAAACCGACTTCAGCGAGAATCGACCGCTGGAAACTAAGACTGATGCCCTATGATTGCGAAGTTGTTTACAAACCAGGGAAAGATGCAGAAAACCCTGCCGACTTTCTCAGCCGTCACCCCAACCCTGTTGTTTCTTCGCCCACCGACAACACCACCGAAGCCTATATCAACTATTTGTGCATCAACCTCATCCCCAAAGCTATGAAACTCGACGAAGTGAAGAAAGAAACTGCTAACGACCCAGTCCTTTGCAAGCTTTCTGAAGCAATCACACACAACCGATGGCTCGATCCTGAAGTGAAACCGTTCGTTAACGTAAAGGACGAACTGTCTGTCTGCAATGGATTAATCGTCAGAAACCACCGCCTGGTGCTACCTCATTCACTGCAGAGCCAAGCCATAGATCTTGCACACGTAGGCCACCAAGGCATAGTCAAAACGAAAATGCTACTTCGTGAAAAGGTCTGGTTCCCCTCCATAGATAAGATGGTGGAACAGAAAGTCAAGACGTGCCTGCCGTGCCAAGCAGCAACCACAGGTACCCATCGACATCCAGAACCCTTGATCATGACACCGCTGCCCGACGCACCATGGCAAGAGGTTGCTGTCGACTTTGTTGGTCCGTTCCCATCAGGCGAGCTGCTACTCGTTGTCATCGACGAATTTAGCCGATTCCCCGAAGTAGAAATTGTCACCACTACGAGCGCAAAAGCTGTCATCCCAAAGCTGGATAACATATTTTCCCGCCAAGGTGTTCCTGTTGTTCTTAAAAGTGATAATGGTCCGCCATTTAACAGCTCGGAATTTGAACAATTTGCCAGTTACCTTGGTTTCGAACATCGCAAAGTCACTCCGTATTGGCCAAAGGCGAATGGAGAAGTGGAACGGTTTATGCGCACCATTGAAAAAGCCATACGTACAGCACACATCGAAAAGAAGAACTGGAAACAAGCCTTGTATCAATTTCTCCGCCAGTACAGAGCCACACCGCACAGCACGACGAATGTGTCACCATCCGAGGCCCTGAACAATCGAAAGTTGAAGATACCACTTCCGAGTATTCCAAAAACTCAGCAACAAGAAACCCAAGATCCAATGCGAAAACGAGATCAAGAAAAGAAAGAAAAGATGAAGAAATACTCAGATCATCGACAACACTCGAGAACAACTGATCTGAAGATAGGAGACACAGTCCTGATCCGCCAACCAAAGAAGAACAAGCTTACCCCACCATTTAACCCCAAACCATTCACTGTTGAAGCTCGGAAAGGAACTATGGTTACCGTCAAACGTGGTTCGAAGAAGATAACACGCAACATATCCTTTTTCAAAAAGATTGATAATCGTGTAACGGATAGTTCAGATGACGAAGATGATGATGACGATTTTGATTGCGACCGAACCAACGAAGACCAACTGAATCAAGAACCTGTTCATTTACGAAGATCCCAGCGAGAAAGAAGACAACCAAATAGACTTGGATTTTGAACATTGAACTATCAATGACTATAGACACATATTGCATGTTAACAGTTGAAATTTGTTTCAGTTTAAATTCCTATTGTCGTTTCGGGCAGAGGAGACATTTTGAATAACATATAACGTGAAGAACAGAGAGCCTATACTAATGTGGGGAGGGATGTAATATAGCTAATTAATATGCTAATAACTAATCCAAATAGGAATAACTAATCAGTATTCAATATATAGTTCACAAACACTATAACACGCGTTTATCTCGTTTTATTGAGTCTTACACACTACAGTGTAGTTTACTGTAAGTTATAACCTTTTACCTTGAAATTGTCTTTGCCTTTGGCTCGTTTATATCCAGATTCAGTATATTATATGAATATTATGATCGTGCATGGGAATTCGACGATCCAAATTTCGGATTTTCTGTGCCGTGAACCAAGAAAAATGCATTAACTAAACTAGCAAGAATGTCTAGAGTTAGACACAATGCAAAATCCATAAAAAACAGCTACAATTCGTTGAAAATTTTAACGAAATTGTTTGAAATATTTTGCCCACTCCACGAAAGGCCGCCATTTTGATATTAGGCAGCTCATTGCTGCCGCAGCGAGCGAGCCTGAAGCGAGCGAGCAAGGCAGCAGATCCTAATTTTGTTTTGTGGGTCGAAATCAAAATTTTCTATTTGGCGCATTGCATGACGGTACCAGTGAATTTTAACCGTGGTGCAGCGCGGTCAGGGATAAGGCAAACAGGCAATGTGATCATGTTTCATCTTTGGTCTTCTTTTATGGAAAGCCATAGCTGGCTTAAAGTGATCAAACGGCATTTTGTTGGGTGCTTTTAGCATTATACGGCGGTGCTTTTGGCATTATACATGGTGCTTTCGCCATTATACGCGGTGGTTCCAGTATTATACGCGGTGCTTTCACCATTTATATACGCGATGCTTTTGCAATTATACACAGTGGATCGAGCACTATATGCGGTGCTTTTAATATTATACGCGATGCTAGCTTTCATTCAACATTATTTCCATATTCTTTCAATGACATGTATATGATTTAACGATTGCTTAAATTTGTTATGTGCATGGTTGACAAATGCTTTTTGCCTATGGTCTGCAAGGACAATGACATGCTTTTCTGTGTATATACATGTAAATGAATATAACACAGCGAATGCGCCAAACAGTATAAACGCAGCTGAAATACGATATTAAAATCTTAAATGTGCCGTATGATTTAATTATGTTTTAGGATTTGTACTGCATCACAAGGCAGTACGTACTGTAAGTGAAAAAACTCCACATGTGAGATTGTCTTGTATATATTTTTGCTTTCTTTGATAAACACTATTAAATACGCAAATTTTAATTAGTGAGACGCAATGTTAAATGTTACCTGCATGTCATTGTCATTGCCCTTTAACCCCTGGTCTAATTGGCCGCTTTTGAAAATATTGATCATGACGAACAATGCAAACTTTGTGTTTTAAAAACGGGTTAGGATAAAACGCGGATACGGATGGACGGATGAATGACGGACGGACCGGACGGATGACATATATATGTTGTTATATAGTCTGCGCGCAGCCGCGCAGGGTAGTTGCCTAATTACGTCTTCGCTGGTTGTTATACTTTAAAATAATTTTGTATGTACCGAGAAATCAATATTCCGAGTATATAAATATATAAACTGGTATGTCACACTAATAGCTTGTTTACATTTCCTGGAGCATCATGAAATCTTATGTTTAACCACGGTGGTTTAACCCATTAGCTGGCAATGCGCCCTTCCCTTGTCGAGCTCCAGAAGATTTTACTCGTCAGTGGTATAGGGTACTTTCAGTAAATGGGTTAACAAACCTATCTGCCAATGGCTCTTGTTAATCCATCAGCACAGTAATGACCCCTACTTTAGTATTTACCCTGTCCAACGCCAGACGATTTTTAATACTCAGTCAGTGGTAGGGTACTGTCAATAAATGGGTTAACAAGGATAACAATAATTAGCCTGCATGGCAGGCGGTATTTCCAGGCTTGCCCAATTTTAGGAACCGCCTGCCATGCAGGCTAAACAATAATAGGATGTTTCTGAGGGACTCGTTCAACACCCTGTAGTTTGTCTTTTGCTGTCAAAGGCAGCATTACTGCCCTGTGGGTAACCTAGTTAATATTCTATTTTGTGGCTATCGAAGAAAATTGGAGATCCACTATTGCTGATCCACTATTGCTGATCCACTATTGCTGATCCACTATTGCTGATCCACTATTGCTGATCCACTATTGCTGATCCACTATTGCTGATCCACTATTGCTGATCCACTATTGCTGATCCACTATTGCTGATCCACTATTGCTGATCCACTATTGCTGATCCACTAAAAATGCGTGCCGAAACCTATACTCGCCAGGGCACAGAGTGCCCCAGCGCACAGAGTGCCCCAGCGAGTAATAAGCGAGAAATTTCCACTTGGACAGTGTTAATTTAATGCAATGTCTGTTAATTTACTAGGGAAAAATAAAAGAAAGCATTTGAGAGATTTCACTTAAATACATACCATGATGTATACATACCAAGAAGTAGTGAATCTAGCTAGTGTCAAATTTATCATGATGTGATTTGTATTTTCTAATGTCAAACATATAAGTTACAAATATACAGTCACATAGTGACACATACAGTATTTTGTAACATTCATGCTTTGACTTATCTTTCAGTAGGCTTTTGTCGGATTATTTTACCGTAGGTTTGATAACAGAGAGGTGTACTTCTACATATTTCTTGAGCATCAAGTTTCAGCGAAGTCAATGGCAAGTTGGAATTTGGAAATTTCACAGCGCTTATTTAATAACAGCCGGAGTAGCATTGTTTACATGCAAGGTTTGTTCCGTTTGTAGTTTGCGATATTTCAGAAATCGTTTAGGATAGACTTCAGCAGTTTTAAATAACAGCAACATTGGTTGTTGTTGTTTGAATGTTTACGACGATGTCGGTAATATCAACAACAAAATTACCGATATGGATATCGATGCATCACTATTTTGCAGACCGGCGATCTTCGAATTCTTTGTATAGTATATACATGAAGACCATATATAAGTCAAATGTCATATTATTTCATTAATTAAATGGTTAGCTATACTCCGCAGTTCCATATATAGCTCTGAAAACATATGATGCCATTGCCGGTTATAAAAATTTGACTATAATATCGAGTGGATAGTGCTACTCAGCTTTCGTACATGTGGCCTTGAGCCATATTCTTATTGAAGAATTGCAGTAACTAATTTATCTGTCTATAAGATTATAACGTCCAAATATTTGAGCTATATGGGGCGTGAAGTTGAACTGTTTCATCCACACTTGGTTATAATATTCATAAACCGATCTGCCGATATCAAAAACCCGGCCTTAACGCGCTCTAAGCTATGCATATTTGGGCATAGTTTGGGAAAGCCTCAGAAGAAAAAAAAAATACGCATTCCAAAGGGAGAAAGGTAAATATATGGAAATATTTTGCTTGGAATTCACGACTTTTTATTCGGGACCCACGATTTTTTACCCACGACCCACGCCTTTTTAGACCCACGATTTTTTACCCACGACCCACGCCTTTTTACCCACGACCCACGCCTTTTTACCCACGACCCACGCCTTTTTACCCACGACCCACGCCTTTTTACCCACGACCCACGACTTTTTACCCACGACCCACGACATTCTACCCACGACTGTTAGCTAGTCCCAAAAAATATAAATAAGACTAGAAGGCCTAGGTCTAGGCTGACGGACAGGTAACTTTCCTATGAACATTGCTATTGGTATGGTTGGGCAAAAATACAATACGCATGTGATGGTGAAGGACCAGATTTATGAATAAACGTTGACTAACATAGATAATGCACTGATATATTTTTATTCTAACGAGTTTCTGTCTTCCCTTCGATACGGCCATGCCTAGGCTATGGTCAGTCTGCATGAACAACTTGAACAAGATGAGTCGTCGCGAACCGCCACATATTGACACTGTTCACAATTAAGTCAGTCCACAGTCAGCATACTAAAAAGCCTCTATCCCAGCGAAAAATTACCACACCTTGAAATAATGTTTTTCATTCTTCTTTGATAAATTAAACATTAATATTTAATATTACTGTAGCGCTGTTAGTATGTTTCATCTGGAGGGCTCGCATAAGTTAGGTCATCGAACGACATATATTGATGCATGGAAACGGCAAACGCGCTGCCGCATAGCGATTTAAAACGCTCGTTCTCTACCACAAGTTACTTTATCGTCATCACATATAATGACAAAAGCCTGTAGCGTAACGAAAACGTACCGGCCTAAAGCTAAGACAGTCATGGCATTCCATATTATAGCGATATAAACTTTGCCAGTCTGAACAGCTTGCACAAGATGAGTCGTCCGAACCGCCACATATTGACACTGCCCACAACTCAGTCATGCTAAAAACGCTCTATATCCCAGCGAAAAATTCTTGAAATAATATTTTTCATTCTTCTCTGATAAATTACACATTATTTAAAAAAAATCGGCTAGTCTGTAGCGCCTTTAGTTTCCTCTGGAGAGCTCGCATAAGTTATTATAGGTCATCGAACAGCGACATATATATATTGCATGTATATTGATGGAGACGGCATTTTACGCTTGCCGCCTAGCAATTTAAAACGCTCGTGTTCTGCCAAGTCACAACTCACAAGTTACTTTATCATAATACTATATATTTTTCATTTTTCGTCGATAATATTCGCATCATATGAAACTATTTTTAAGTTTATATATACCGCGCCGAGAAACTGCGAAGCTCGGCCGACACCCGCGCGTAAACTCGAAAATTTGTTTCACTTAAGGTTATCAAGCACTGTCATACATTTATTCTTAATTGAAAGTCAAATGTTTTCCAAAAGTCGATAAAGTATTTGACCACTGGCCTACTTTCACTATAAGTAAATCAAACCCAATACTGATCGGACGGAGCGAGTCAGTGAACTGAGCCGAATTCTACCAATAGTCATTGAAGTGCCTCGAAAATTTGTTTCAACTGAGGCACACATTAATTCCTTTACTTTACTCTTTAGACAGTGCAACAGTTTTGCACAAGTCAACATATATTGTTGAACGTTATAACGTGAGTAGCTTCTGAGTTCTCAACAAATGAAACGTGCCGACTAATTGAGAACGCCTATGCTAGCCTATATGCATACCAATGCCATATAGCATTGGCATGCATATAGGCTATAGCATGGGCGTTCTCAATTAGTTCATCACTATTTATTATGATTTATGTGAGGAAACGTTTCCGTGCAAAAGTTTCTGTATCTGTATATGATTTATGTTTAATTCTATAGATCTTATGTATTACTTACTTGCTTTATTTGCTTTTGGAAAGTAGACTGTACACCACTGGTCACAAGTTTTCTACAGGACTGAGCTCGAGAAGCGTCGTCAACAGGATTTAAGCGTTGTGGTTACAGGTCTCATGCAGGGGCGGACCAGACCGATGCCAGCGATGCGAATGCATCGGTCAAAATTGAGAAATCATGATTCATGTTGCTTGAAATATATAGATATATAATGTCGCCAATAGTCAAAGCACTCAGTAATAAAATATCTCCTATCAACCCAATCTTTGCTTAAAATTGACTCCATGTCAGGAATACACTATTTAGGATGAAATCCAATTTAAATAGCCTCAATAACAGTCGAAATTGTCAAAATACAGCCGATTCAGGTTGAGCGTTTAACGGAAGTGTTTGTACCGTTCGTTGTAGGCGTTCCAACGTGACGTTTCTAGGTACGTAAGCATGCGTTTCCACTTTCCAGGTACACATTAGGTGTTGTCACTTCCGCTATTTATATTTTGGTACATGTACAGTTTTTGAATTTAAGCGCTAAGTTTAAAATATGTTGAAGTTTAGCAAAAGAGGTCGCTCATATCAGTCAGAAAAACCTTTGTCATTATATACTATATAAGATCAACTATTATTTTCAAGTTTTTCAACTAAATTTGTGTTTGTTTGTCAGGGAATAGCGGAAGTGACAACACCTAATGTGTACCTGGAAAGTGGAAACGCATGCTTACGTACCTATATGGGCGTCCGAAGCAGACAAAATTATGAACGCATAAACAATAAACCAATACACGCACTAAATATTTGAACACTCGCACTAAACATTTGAACACTCGCACTAAACATTTGAACACTCACACTACACATTCGAACACTCGCAATGAATACAGCCAATTGCAGTTGAGCTTGCAGCTTGCATTTTAAACGCGTTGTTATATCGTTGAAAAGTATGCGTTCATTCCTTAGAAACACGCCGTTGCTAGGGGCGTAACGTGAACTTTTGGCGGGCATTGTTGAACTTCTGAACGGCGTGCAAACAAACGTATAACGAGTTAAATATTTTGTAAAAACGCCGCTTAAGCCTGCGACGGAACAGTAAGGTATTTTTAGAATGCCTGCAGTCAAATTAGAACTCCCTGGTCGGATTTGTGACAAAATCTAATTTAATGTGACAAAATCTAATTTAATTCGTCAACGCCAAGAATAGAAAAACATGTTTACGTCGTTACAACGCGCGCCAAAAGTTCACGTTACGCTCCTAGCAACGGCGTGTTTCCAAGGAATGAACGCATACTTTTCAACGATGCAACAACGCGTTTAAAATGCAAGCTGCAAGCTCAACTGCAATTGGCTGTATTCCAACACTCACACTAAACATTCGAACACTCGCATGAATTTCGAACTGGCATTCCACAAATTCCACAATGCACACACACAATATTCGAAGTGTCGCACACAATATTCAAAGTGTCGCACACAAAACATTCGAAAAAATCTCGTTAATTTATGCAGCTGTTTACATATTTCTTCTAATTTATGCGACGGTTAATTTATCGATACGGGGGGGGGATCTCTGTTTTCGCGGGAAATATCGGGAAATATACACTGGAAATATACAACCAAAATGGCGGTTCGCTGGTTAGACTGGTTGCCTGATACACAAACTTCCTTCGAAACTGCGGAGGCAACATTGGTACGAGCAAGTTAACAGTTACGCATCTGTGATGTTGAGTCTTCGCAGTATTGGATCACCAAATTAGAAACGTTGGAAAAGTAATTTAGTTTGCTTTTAGCACGAATAATGCAGGCTTTAATATTTGGAAAGACGAAGACTACACGAAGTAGTTGGCAATTTATTGCAAGTGATAATCATTCCTAAAGATTCAGCTTGGCATTACGGCACTACATGTCTCCGATCAGGATGCTCTAGCCAGCAAAACGTACAAATGAATCACCTTGTTCGCCTCGATGTGGAACCGCATTGCTCGGTGTTTAGGTGTTTCCGAGAGAACACTTAATAGAAGAAGGTACGAACTTGGTTTGTTATCGACGCAGTGAAATTATGCTGACTTATCTAATGAACGCCTTGACGGCCATGTTAGGGATGTTTTGTAAACAACTCCCGGAATAGGATTGAGTTTGGTGCGAGGGGCTCTCCGATCAAGGGGCTTGAATGTACAATGAGAAAGGATTAGAGGATCTATTAACGGAGTAAATCCTCTTGCTTGTACTGTTCGCCAAACACAGTTTATAACATATTGTAGCGAACCTATAACGTGAAATCTCGTAATTCCCTATTGTAAGTTTATATATAGCATTTACAGTGATGTACCTATCAATTGTAATGCCCCCCCCCCCCCAACCTCGGGGAAATGTGGGGACATAAGATTTTTAATATATCCATACTTAACTATTGTCCCACACCCTGAGGCAGGCGTACCTGACTAAGATTGTCTAATCCTCCAACACAAAGGGCCAAAATTGGAAATGTTTTATTGAACAAAAATTTTTATTTTCAAAATAAAAGTAATATCAAAGATTTACATGAAAAATATGCAAATTATTGCAAATAATATTGCTATTCTGTGAGAAAATAAATTCACTACTGAACATGTAATGAACTATTTTGTACTATAGTGTACTATTTTGTATATACTATATAACTTCTATATACTTTAAAAAGATCTTAAAAAGATCACGCCCAGCTGGACAACCTAGCCCAGAGGAGGGTTGTATACATTCCACATAATTCCCCCACATACCAGGGTTGGGGATCCACACAGGGGAAATACCTCATCTAGTCAGGCATAACCAATTAGACCGGGCTGTGGTGGACTTTACTACCACCTGACGCCGGAGAAATCGGGATGGGTATTTTCAAGTAGGTACAGACCTGGGTGTTTCGAAACGTGATGGTAAACGGGGGGAGTCGGGTGCGTTTAGCCGCAGGGGGTGAAATGTTGGGATTTCTGCATATAATTAATGAACTGAATTTTATATTTTAATGAATTGAAATTTGTGATTTGTTATTACCACAACCTTCTTTACATATAAATTAGTTCAGAAATAGAGTTTCCATTGCTTGCGGAAGTTATACATGTGTTGCTAAACAAGGTATGAAACATTTTGGATTTATTTGACTAGGGGCAGGGGGGCGGGGGAGGGTGGCGGAGTAACCTGATTTTAATCCTTGCCTGGAAAAAAGACTGGTAAACTCATTTCCCATGTTGAACTATTTCAATATTATATACTTAAATGCTGAATTGCATAAGGCTTCAAAAATTAAATTGAATTAACCGGAAACATCCGGAATCCTGACTTCCTCTTTTCCACGTGCATTGTACATGTTCCATGCTGGAATGTAAAGTCTGTAAAGACTGTTAATCAAGCTTGAAATGTTTTGACGAATTCTCAATGAAAGGCGTGTATATAGTGCGCTATCTCTTATGCTTGTTTATGATTTTTGAGACTATGTCAGAGCGACTTGGTAAGCTTATTAATTGTTTTGAGATTTATATTTAGACGTGGGACTAGCATGTGCCATATAAGCATTGACATTACTGGATATTAATCAATAGACAATACGCTTAAATTCAATTTATTTATATGCAAAGTTTATCTTTATTGCCTAGTAATGGTATTCAAATGCAGTTTGAAATTTTAACTGAGATTCATTGCTAATTTGTCTTTTCGATTTCATATGATAATTATACATAAACATTTGTGAAAGTCTAAATTTAGGCATGCGCTAAGTTTGTAATATTTGTAAAACAATAACTTAAAGTATTAGTGTCACACCAGGAATTCGCGGGCTCAAACTCCTGCTGGCGGCCATTTTTCGGGACGAATAGATCAGATGATCTGGAATGTGTTTACAATCCGTCATATATTTAAACCATCCTTTTATAATCCTTGCTCTTTTTGTCTTATTTTTATCAGAAATGTAGCTACCAAACAAGGTATTTTTATCGCTATTTGTTGTATTTAAGTAAAATGTAAACAATAACAAAAGCCCGCAATGCATGACCCTGACACTAATCCTTTAAAGGCAATCCTAATTTGGAATTGAAAGAATTCATAAGTGACTCACCTGCAGATATACAATAATATTGCTTAAAAGTAAAGTCAGTTTTTCTAAAAATTATTAATGTTAGTGAGATAATTTGAATCAATTTTTGCAGATGTGGCAGATGTGGCAAAGTGTGTGGTTCATTATGATATTGATACAGTAACATAAAACAGTTGTCAGAAGTTAACTTGGAACGAATTCAGCAGGCGAAAACTCTACGAGAATCAAAGGGTGGCTCTAACCATCACAAAAAAACAGTGCGATTCTGTCCCAGAGCTAAATCAGTTCAATCCGTCGTTACACAGAGTTCATCAAGAACCGTGCTATAAAAAGTTTGTTCTGATACTTTCTCAAGAAAAAAGGAATTAAAGCATTCAGAAAGCTCTCCCGATTCACAACCAAATGTAACGCGCTTAAAGCGTGGTGAATCCAGCCCTGATTGCTCTCGTAACCTTTATCCAAAGGAATGCAATTTCTGTAAAAAATACCGGGCAAAAAGGAATGGAAAGTTACATTTTCCCATCACAATTAGCGACTAATATGGCTGCTGCGCAAATCAAGGAATCGGCAGAAGCGAAAGACACCAAGGTCTTTTATGAAATTAGAGATATCGATTTAATAGCAAAAGAGTTCAAGCATCATGACTTCTGTTACAGAGAATTTACAAGAAAAGTAGCAAATGCGAATACTAAACAGTTCGAAGACAATGATGCGAAAGGTAATTTCGACAAAGTAACAGATTACATACAACGAAAAGTTTTATCCCCAAATCAGGCCATCTCTATGACAGTAGGCTACTACATGATTTTTATGGTCTCCATACCCAAGATACCAGATATAGAAGCAAGTTAAAAAATAGGATTGTTACAAAATTTCCTGACCAATTATTATTTTTAACAATTGACGCTAAAACACCTCAAGTTGTGATCAGCTGTGAAGGAACAAATAAGAATACATTATTGAAAAATCACGAGGAAGTAATCAAACAAGCGGCTGAATATGTTCGAGAAGACATACGAGAATATGCGCGAGATTCTCCCGAATTACAATGGCCACCATATATCGAGGAACTTGCTGCTGAAACTCGCCCGGTTCCCTCGTCAGTTAGATCATTCTTAATTCGTCTCCTGACTGACGACAGATATTCGCCATCTTTGAACGCTCAACGTTTGGTACAATCGTATGCTGCTGATCTTGTTCATGGGGTTACAAGAGGAAACGTTATGACCGCGAAACATTTTTTAATAGGTCTTGGTTTACACAGCATTACAGGGAAAAAGAAACCAATTCAACTACTCAACCTGTTAGAACACTCAATAGACTACAATATGGTATGTGAGATTGAAACGGCTCATGCACAAGCCAATCAAAAGATCTCTGAAACACATGGTACAACTGCAACTGAAGAACATGCGGTGTTAACGTTTTTTGGGCGGACAACTTCGATATGAATCTTGAAATACAAACTGGTCATGGCGCAATAAATTCTACACACATGATTCCATTCCAGGAAGAGTCACAATTCACGATGGAAAGAAGCACATCGAAGGTTAAATTCGCAAGAACAGGAAAACGCTCGATTGCACAAAGTCATATGGAAGGTGAAGAAATGCAAGTTAATCCAAAGAAAGAGCCTCCCAGTTTTGTTAATTATTCAGCTGATGAAATAGTGAAAATTAAGCCAGAGACTGTCTGCGGAACGTTTCCTGACGTGGATGATACTTCGACTGATTAATTTTGGCGATCAAAACGTGACATCTTACTTTGCTTGGGAAATGCAAAACCGAATAGCTGGGGAAAACAAAACAGTTAATAAGACTTTGACAACATACTTTCCACCAATCAACGCTAAAGTCACAGAATTCAGTACCATCAACCAGTACCTTACGTACATGCAGAAGCTATCAAATGAAGTAAACATGCCTTACGTCAACGTATGTTTGGATCTCGGTGCTGCAATGAATGCCTACAAGTTCATCTGGAATTTTCCGTTGAAATTTAAGAATGTTGTCATCCATTTGGGAGATTTTCATTTCATTAAAGAAAATTTTGGTGTCATTGGTGGGATTGTTGAAACGTCGGGCTTTGAAGATGTCGTATATCAAGCAGGTGTATGCTCGTATGGCAGTTTGAAAGGTATTCTCTCAGGCTCACACTACAATAGGGCATGGATTGTTCATTCTGCGTTTTCAGAAGCTCTAGAGAGGCTTTTGTTCCAGAGATTTTTAAAGAAAATAGTATCGCCATTCCAGATTACTTCTATGATGCATGTATTGATCCAATAGCAAGCTGCGCTGTCATTACTGAAAATGCTTCATCGTTGTATTCAGAATACCAAGCTTTCAAAAAGGAAGCAAGAAATGGTGCGTTGGGGAAAACTGCTCAATTTTGGATACGAACGGCACACCTAGCTGTTCAAGAAAATGATTTTGATCAAAGGGTATTGGTATGGAAATTTTTTCTTCCGATGTATTTTGCTTTGAACAAGCAAAACTACGCTAGATACGCGTCGTACTACGTTGGAGTCTTGCAAAATATTGACATTCCCCATCCCGGCCTAAGGGAAATGCTTGACAAGTCAGGACTTTCTGTGCAGGCACAAGATCGTCATCCGCTGATAACCGCAACTGACCAAAGAGGGGAGCAAACTATTAACCGTGACGCAAATGCCATTCTGAAGTGGACGCTGAATCGTTCAGAGGAAGCCAAAAACAAGGCGAAACTTTTTGAAATGGCGGGCATGAGTCTCTCAAATGAAGTATATAAGTCATTACGACCATCCGAGATCCTAAAGTCGGAGTCCTATACTACAAGCGTTTTCAACACGTTAAGCAAGGAATATTTAAACCCATTCGATGCGGAACTAGATACCAGTTTTCTTTACAACTTGTGCTCGGGTACACCGATGGAAGAGGATATCAGCGAATAAATTTTGAATAATAGAATAGAAGGAGACGCGTTGTTTGAAACATTCATCGCTGATAGAATCCTGAAGAAAGAAATACTTTTCCATGATCCCATTAAGAGGAGGAAGTTAGTATTATTCAAGGCATCCTCGAAGAAGGTATCGTTGACGAGAAGTACTGTCATGAAAACAGTATAAGTCAACAGAGACATTTTTGGCACCCTTCTTGCTTTGACAGCGAAGACAGAAAAAGTTATCATCTTTGAAAATGCATTAGAATATCCACTTTGTTCTGTCCCGCTTAGCTTGGCATGCCCTGATGGCACACCTCGGAAAACTGCTAAAAGTAAACTCTTGGATGTGCTAAGAAAAAGATGTAGATTGCCATTGACTCATCCAAGAGAAAATCAACCACAAAAAGGAAGTGTTGCAGCCTTTATCATCGACCTCATGGAAACTATAAGAATGATAACAGGTACTCCTGAAACATACGAGGACTTGACGTGGGTATTTATCAAGACAATACCAACAGGCTACACCAGAATAGACATTGTTGCAGACACCAATCCAGAAAATTCCATTAAGGCGGCTGAGCACTGTAGAAAAGGTAGTTCAAGAGAGATTATAATTCGATCACCCCGATCAAAGATCCCGAGAGATTTTCGTGGTTTCTTACAAAATGGAAAGAACAAGACGAGGATGATTGTGCTAATGAGGGAAGTGTTGATGAAGAACCAACAAAAAACACTTGAAATGTTAGCTGCAAAGAAATTTTCTTCTCCACCCTTAACAATTATATCAAAATAACGGAAACTGTACTTGCAACATAGAAGGTCTTGCCAGCAACCAGGAAGAAGCAGACACGAAAGTCGTCCTGCACTGTAAGAGTGCTCTAGCGAGCTCTTTGAACAAGATTATCATTCTTCGATCGCCATCAGGTGATACCGACATCACAATAATTATGATCGAACAATTTATTGAAGAGAGCGCAAATTGTTTTCTCAATTATGGACGCGGACAGAATCGAATGGGTCTGTGGCTAAACAGTGTTGATTTAAATAAGCCATTGAAAGAATGCCTTATTGGTTTTCACGCGTTCACAGGAAATGACTTTGTATCGTCTTTCTTTCGAAAAGGAAAAGAACTTTGCTGGAAAGTTTTAGAAACAAATCCGAAATTCTACCACGCATTTCAAAACCTGGGAGTGAACTGGAATCTCAGCGATGCAATATTTGACCTTCTTGAAGAATTTGTATGCTTCGCGTATGGCTATCGGAGAAAGAGCGTTAATTTCGTCCGTCACCAAATGTTTCAGGCAAAGTACAAAAAAACATTCAAAAATTGTTGATCTTTCTTTGTTACCACCGTGTCAGTCTGTGTTGAAACTTCACGGCAGACGAGCAAACTTTGTTGCTAAGATATGGAAGTCGTCAGATGAAGCAAAACTACAGATTCCAGAAATCTCACATCATGGATGGAAATCGACCGGTGAAATCAAATGGCTGGTAAGAGAATTTCCCAATGATGTAGAAGAACTTCTATTTAATCCTGAACTCGATGAACTGGACGACGATCAAATATTTGATAGAGATTTCGAGAGTGAGGAAGAAAGTGATTTTGACAGCTGAATAAACAGTTTTGTTCGTATTTGTTTGTTAATAGTTAACAAGATTACATATATACCTGTATCGTAATAACTCATAATGAGATGTACGAAGATGTATATATGTACCTAAATACAAACAATTGCAGGTATATTACATCACATCACTTCACTATAACCCCCCCTGCGGCTAAACGCACCCGACTCCCCCCGTTTACCATCGCGTTTCGAAACACCCAGGTCTCTACCTACTTGAAAATACCCATCCCGATTTCTCCGGTTTCAGGTGGTACTAAAGTCCACCACAGCCCGGTCTAAATAGTCAAAGAGGGAAAATGTCCCCCCCCCCCTTTCCCCCAAGGGGTTACAATTGATAGGTACGTTCAGGGTCTGAATTTTGCAGTATCCCGATATCCACAGGATACTAAAATTTGGTTTTGGATACCAATCTGTGAATGACTTTTATCCCAACTGGATACTAAGAAAATTTCAAACATTAGGAAAATGTTAAGCACCTCTGACAGTCTCCTGATGGCTTTTGAATTTACTATGAGTTTGCCACCCAAGCCTTTCCTAATATAATGTGCATTTTTGTGGATTAATGAATTATCTAGTTCTTGACAACTTGACTGAACTTTGAATCTCCTATTGTTACTGTAATTTGTACCAGCGAGAGTTATTGGATGGGACACGGTATAATACTTATGGTAACCAGTATCCAGAAGTGGGATACTGCATTCTCATGGGGGATACTAAACTTTGAATCCTGGTATCCCAGTTGGATACTGAGAAAATATTTAAATTTCAAACCCTGACGTTACTGTAAATGCTATATATAAACTTACCATAGGGAATTAGGTTATCTCACGTTATAGGTTCGCCATGTTATAAACTGTGTTTGGCGAGCAGTACATTCAAGAGGATTTACTCACATTCAAGCCCCTTGATTAGTTGATTGGAGAGCCCCTCGCACCAAACTCAATCCTATTTGAGTTGTTTGCAAAACATACCTAACATGGTCATCAAGCCGTTCATTAATTAGTTAAGTTAGCATAATTTCCCTGCGTCGATAACAAACCAGGTTCGTACCTTCTTTTTCTAAGTGTTCTCTCGAAAACACCTAAACATCGTGCAATATCAGCCCATTGAAAACCGAGATTATCGAGGCCGACCAACCTCTCCAGTATGTCGAACAAGGTGATTCATTTGTACGTTTTGCTGGTCTAGAGCATCCTGATCGGAGACATGTAGTGCCGTAATGCCAAGCTGAATCTTTAGGAATGATTGTCACTTGCAATAAATTGCCAACTAGTTCGTGTAGTCTTCGTCTTTCCGGATATTATTAGGCCAAGTCTAAACGCCGCATTTTACATGCGTCGAATCAAATACATATTCGAGTCGACTTGAATTGACATTTTTCAAATTTTAATTCAGACGTCGAATTTAATTGTCGAATTTAATTAATTTGCAAAGCCCGTCAAATGGCGCCAAATCCAAACTACATGGCAGATGAAGTTGTAAGAGAAAAAAATTTGCGTTTATGCCTATCAAACATCATTCATGCCAACAGAAAACGACAACTGTTAATGGATATGGCAGTAAATAACCTCTTCGTAAGGAGAAGGCAGAAGATGCATGATGGTACTCCTTATTTGTCAAGTATTATAGTGCGTGGCACGCGCGTGCGAGTAAAACCCGATATCTTGAAAAATTCCAAATAAATATTTCTTCTCGCCGTATATTCAAACGAAACTTTCTAACACGAGAGCGCTTGAATACATTTTACTTCCATGGCCTTTGAGAGAATAACGAAAAGTTTAGTATTAAAGTTTTTTTCTCCAAATGAAATTCAGAATGTTTGGCCAAGGGTGAGTAAATGTATGATTGTTTTGGAGTTTGTGTAATGTTTTAACGGCATTTGACCCTCCGTTTAAACGGATATTTTGTGAGAATTTCAATGGTGGTTTCGTTTACTGTAAAAAGGAGTAAATACTCGCTGAGATATTCACATTATAGAAACAATTGAATCATAATACTGTAATTGCGATATATCATATATGTCGAGAAAGAGTTGTTAAACAAGTGTATTTCGTCTCGATTGAACAAGAAAATGGCAATTGATAAAACTAGAATAGTGAAGCGAATAGTGCGAATAGTCGAGCGAATAGTCCGCGAATAGTCGACGAATAGTGCGAATAGTCCGCGAATAGTCGACGAATAGTGCGAATAGTCCGCGAATAGTCGACGAATAGTGCGAATAGTCCGCGGATAGTCGACGAATAGTACGAATAGTCGACGAATAGTCGCAATAGAGAATTTG